AAAATAGATTTTTATATAATATCATATAAAAATGACGCACTCCACCAAAATACTTTTCTCCTTGATTTTTCTTAAAATCACTTCTTTGCTAAAATCTTAAACTTCTCTTGGAAAATCTCTTAGTAATTCTTCTCTTTAAACTTCTTAAGAAAATCACTTCTCCTCTAGCTTCCTAGTAAACTAGAAGGGCGGTGCTCAACCTTTCGACTGAGCCCGGTGGACCGTGGTTACGGACGGCCACCCCGAACAAGTGCCGGTACCACAACTGCTCTGTTGGAAACGAAACGACTACCTTAAGTGTGCACACCCCCTGAAAGGGATTCCAAGCCCTCCGAGTAGTAAGTCATCCCGAGTGGTCGGAACCCAACCACCCCAATTCTAAAATTCTTGAATGATTAGGGACTACTACTATAACTTCTTCTTAAAATGGATCATAGATCCAAATCTTACTTAAAAGGGATCATAGATCCAAATCTTACTTAAAAGGGATCATAGATCCAAATCTTGCTTAAAAGGGATCATAGATCCAAACTGTACTTCTTAGTAGTAGTAGCTCTAATCACCCTCCACATTTATCCGGATGTGGAAAAACCGACACCTCGGATTACTCCCGAGATGCTATCTTCTTATGAAAATGTAAATTTTATCTTCGCTTAATAATACTTCAAAAATATACTTCTTAATTTCTCTAAAAAGTCTCGAAGGTATTTAAAAATATTTAATACCCCAAAAGTACTTGATTAACTACCATATATATAATATCTCAAAATCACATACGCAAAATTCACAATTCTCACTTAATTACATAATGCATAATAAGCATATAATACGAGGAAACAATTTTGGATTGGCAGAGAAACATACCTTAAGTCTTGATGCTCCTAGTTATCCTCCTCTAATCCGGTCTCTAGATAATCACCTTATTAATTAAATATGATAAATTAGTCACTCATTCTACTTGTAATTACTTTACCCGATTTTCTCCTTTTATTTTATTATTTGAATTTATTAACTTAATTTATTAGTTATCCGAATTTATTTGATTACTCACGTTCTATTAATAAAATTACCTTATTAATTTTATCCATTAATTTTAAATATTTGAAATAAAATATCCGAATATAATTGACTACAACATCCAATTTTTATTCAATAATCACTATTAATATTAATATTTCCTTATTTAATTAGATATGGCCTAATTTAAATAAATAGACTAAGAATCGACTTTATAAATTAAAAACCGTCTATAACTATATTTTGGGTCTATATTTGACCTAGGTTGTCCAGATATCTATTTTATAATTATCTTCCATAATTATTCCTTTAATTTCATATATCAATTAACCGGTTCAATTACAATTAAATATACTAAATCTTAATATTTATTAATTATAAATGGTCCATAAGGTCCTAATTAGTCATATATTTATCCTAGTTTACTCCAATATTTATTTCATAATTATTTTCGTTATTTAGTTAATTATTTACTAAATGTGTATAAATTGGCCCAATTACCATTAAATCCATTAAAAATAGCTAAACAATTTATTTTCCAATTCTGGTTGGTCCGAATATGTATATTTATACTAGGTATTTAATTTATATTTTTCCAGATTTTATTTATTTCATTTACTATTTTATTTTTAATTTTTATTGCAACTGGGCCGAACTGGCCCAAATTAAATTTTCTGGCCCAATCCTGAAAAGGCCCAAAAACAGACTTGCTGGGTCTTCTTCTTCTTCCCCAGGTCGCCGGAGAACGGGAAAGAAAACGCAGGGAGAGCTTACCTCGTCGGACGGGTGTAACGGCGGTGCAAACGGCTCCTTCTGGATTGGCGGTGATTGGTGATGGACTGGCGGCGGCAGCGGCAACCCCCTCTTCTCCGTTTTCCGTCGAAAAGTTTTTTTCCCCGGCGAAACTCCGGCGAGCTCTTTCTCCCTCTTTTCACGATCGTTTTCGACGATTCTTTTTCCGTTGGATTCGTATCACGAAGGGGAAGGTTTGAGAAGTATTTTCAGGGCTTGTTTCTGGCTCAAACGGTGGGTCGAAAAAATATATATAATATACGTATATATGTATGTATATTTCGTAGTTTTTTTTTTGGGATGAAGAAAACGTAGGTTCTGGCCTATTATTTATAGGGAAAGATGAGGGTTTTAGGCTGAGATGTTAGAGTTGGAGTTGGAGTTTAATTTTGATTCTTTTGCACCTTTATGAGTATTAGGAGTATAATTGTTATATAATTATTATTACGTAACTAACATACGTATGTAGGAGTAATTATTATTACGTAACTAACATACTCCTAATACTAATGTTAGTATTTGAGTATAATTAGTATTACCTAGTTATATATCTATTAGGAATATACATATGTAGTTAGTTAGGAGTATTATGAGTATTTTAATTATTTAGTTTATACTTTGTATATTATACAACCTAAAATAGTTATATAAAAATTAATTTTATACTAAAACATAACTTCTATTATCGGGCCATTTTTATCTGATTAAAAAGTCGTAAACTTGGAAATTTTTATCTGATTAGAATGTTACAACTGTTGAATTTTTTTTTTGTCTGACTCAATTAATAATTAAAATGTTATTTTCGTAATATTTTATCTGATTAATAAAAATTATTTTTATTTTTATTTAAATTTTTGAAGTGTCACAGAAATCATCATTGAAATGCAAACGGAGGAATATGGTGAGCCTACATACGAAGTGAAGCACACAAAAGAAGTGAGTGAACCTATGGTCCATATTGATCACACATTGAAATTGGTCCAAGAAAGTGAACCCGGGGTTTTGGTTCACCCAAAAATGCTTTGAAGGGGTGCCGGGTGTGCGTAAAAGGAAGAAAGGCTATGCTTACACAACGGAATTTATGAGGAGTGTATACCAACACTACCTTAATAGATACTATGAAGATGGGCATCTAGTGGGCAACGGAAACAAGGTCAAAGATATGAGGAAATTCAAAGGAAAAGAAAGCCGAGTGGTCCAAGATATTAGAGAAGCTTTCATGGATGATGTGATCACAAAGATTGAGTTTGAAGAGGATGGAAAGGCTAACATCCATTTGATGCATGATGAGCTTGTGAAGGAAAACATGACAAGGCTTGACAACTACCTAGACATTGAATGGAATATCACGAGGAAGGGGCTCATTTTCACCACCGCTTGCTTGAAGTCTCTCCCCGGGGTCTCTTGCATAGATGATGAGTATGTTTTCTCTCCCTACTTTATTTCAAATGTTTATCAATTGTTTCTTGATAGGTACAAAGGGTGTGAGGAGATCCGAGAATGGAGGCAAAGTGAGAGGGACAAGGTGAGGTCCCACAAGAGGAGAGGAGTCTCGGCCCATAATTGATTATGTTTTTAGCTTCATGGAATGTTAGGGGGCTTAACGAAGCCTCAAACCAAAAAATAATTTCTTCTTTTGCAAGGACAAATAAGGTACGAATATTTTGCCTTCTTGAAACTAAGATGTCTTCTAATAATTTTGATAGTTTTGTGAATTTTAGATTTAACTCTTGGAAGTATATAACAAACTTTGATAAGATGAATGGGGGAAGGATGGCAATTATTTGGGACCCCAATTTTGTTGATTGTGTAATCTTACAAGTGGATAAACAACATATTCATGCTAGGTTTACTTGTAAGGTTACACAAATGCCTTTTTATGTGACCTTTGTTTATGCATTGTATACAATCACTAGTGCAAAATACACATTCTATAACTAGGTTTTTAATATGGGTTCACATTTAACCGTTATGAAATGTAGACACGGGGTCATATTTATAAATAATAAAAGTTGAGTAAGTTTATCGGGTAAGTATTATAAATATAGAATCTTATTTATAACGGTTGAAAGAATAACCGACATTGTTAAATAAAAACGGGGTCATTTAAATAATTTCTGGAAACTTAGTTTCGAAATGGGGGCTTTTTATAATATTTAAAAATGCTTTTTATGTCAGCTGATTTGTAACACTTACGATAGATACTGCCCCATTAACATACGGACTACATGAGTAAACCTACCGCTCTACACGATTACACGATTACACGAAGAATACGAAGTATACGAAGTACAGAGAAGACCTTCGACGGAGAGGAGGACTTCGACGGAAAAGACGACGTTGACGGAGAAGAGGGATTCGATGACCACCGCTGCAGCTCCCAATCAACCGGCGCTCCTTTCAACGTTTCATCTCCTTCTCGATCCAGATTATTCATCTTTTCTTCCTCCAAATATCATTCTCCATCGTTCTCTCTCCCGTTTGTTAGAGAGATTTATTGCATAGATTTTTTCATTTCGAGAGGAATTGCTTCTTTTATTGTATATCGATCGCTTACCCCAGCTTCCGCTTCAGACTTCTAGGTATCCTCTCATGATCCTTGGATAAGAAATCAATCGTTTCTCTTCGGTAGCTCGTGCAGTGCAGGCGGCCGTTTCCCTGAGAGCGAATGAGAGGCGCACTCGCGACTAAGATTCCTAAAGGCACAATCACGCGTCAATAATTACTCCTCAGGATCCAGAGACATCACTATCACGTTACAGCAAGAATGGTTAGTTATTTAATAATTCAGATTTGAAGATACGAATATTTAGGTTAGTTTTTTAAAATCTGAAGTTTAGTTAAGTGTTGATTTATTAAGACTCAAGAGATATTAACTTTTTTATCAGTGAATCATCTATAAATAAACTATATAATGATTATGTTTGGAGTTTCAATTGCAATGACAGTCCTAATCATAGTATTAGATGTTCTGATGCACTTGTATTCTTGTTATACTTTTCTGGAACGCTTACAGTTCAAATCCGAGCTAATAGGAGGGTTAACTTAGAAAATTGGACGATTGGGCTACAACACTGTTCTTCTATATGCTGTATGTTCTCACCACGTGTGTTATGTAAAGTTAATATGAGTGGCTAAAATGTTGACAAGATATTTGGCCTCAGGTTGTTAAGAAGACACTGACGATTATAGCGATGACGAGGAGGACAATGAGAAAGTCCTGCAAGCAGATAGTGGGCTGAAGAGTCCGGAGGATAAGATAAAAGAGGCAGCTGACATTGGATATGAGGTGATCGGGCCACTTAAGAAATCTGACCGAGTTTTCAAACCTTATGAGCCAGTTTTTGCTGTTGTTCAGGTTTGAATTATTAGCCTGTTGTGTATATTTATGCACACACACCTGCATGTTAAAATAGTATTAAAGCGTTTTTTGTTCCTATTATCTGGCTTGTATTGTTAGATTGGATCGCACCAATTCAAAGTTAGCAACGAGGATAACATTTTTGTGGAAAGATTGAAGTACTGTGACGTCAATGACAAGGTGAGACGCATCTTTGTTTTTCTTTTATGCTATCAACAAATTAGGTGCGTTATAATTATGTAACTGATTGCATATGTAGCTATTCTCTGTTACTAGATTAGTGTACAGAAAACATACAAGGTCCTTGAAGAGTTGAATATAATACTTCAGAATAGGAATTCAACCAAAGGTTCTGCCGAAAGAGAAACTGAATTCGATCTCACTTCAAGATATATTTTAGCCTTCTGTTTTTATTAGTATGATCATTTGGATGGAGTTGGATGCTACCTCAATTTGTGCATCATTTTTCTGCAATAATATGACATAACCGACCCTTACAATTTTTAGAGCCACGGAATTTTTAAACCGTGGTTTGATATTCTGTATAAGTCATTGTTTCAACCTGTTCTAAATTTCTAAGTCTTCTAACATCTACTGATCATGGTAGGAACTAGGAGGCTTTGAGATCTATTAATCTAAGGAGTAAAAATTTGAAACCTTTATATTAATATTCCACTTGCCTTGGTTAAAAAGGGTTGTGTCCCTCCCAGTGACCCAAGGAACATAAAAGGGTAAAAAGGTCATATGTTACTTTTTCAAATTCAAACTTTGACCCTGTTTATTTCTCACCACAAAGGAATTATCTTTGAACGAAGAAGTAAAAATATGAGCAGAAGTTTCATATCCCAGGAACATTTAAGGATAAAAAGATCATATGTTACTTTTCCAAATATAAACTTTGAACGTGTGTATTTCTTACTAGAAAGGAATTATCTTTGTAGGAAGAAGTAAAAATATGAGCAGAATTTTCATATCCCAGGATCATTAAAGGGTAAAAAGTCATATGTTAGTTTTCAAAATTGAAAAATTCAATCTTTGAACGTGTTTATTTCTCACTACAATAGTACAATGGAATTACCATTGTAGGAAGAAGTAAACATATAAGTAGAGAAGTTGCCTATTGTTTTAGTGGTGTTGGTTAAGATCATTTTACATATCTCCATGTATATTGTCATTTTGATCCCCCCCCACCCGTAATGAATATGTTTTTATTTAAATTCATCATATCCATTATATATGTGATTCAGTTAATATTGAGCAAGGTTATGATGTTGGGCTCCAAGACACAGACAATTATTGGGCGGCCTATATTACCTGATGCAACTGTTCATGCTGTTGTGGAGGAGCATGTAAGATAACTTTACTATTTCAAACTTTTCTTTAAGACAATATGTTGTATCAGGTTATCCATTCTATAGAGACTAAATACTATGTGTACCTCTTCCTGTCTAAATACGTTTTAAGTAGCTTTTAGATTTGACTCACTTATTTTACTGAAACAGATGTTTTAACAGTTCAAATTCCCAAACCTTTCAGAAATCTCAGCCAATTTAGTCATTTACCCAAAATAACTCTTACAAAATGGTACCTTTATGACTTTATGTTTAATCTGATTCTCCTTGTGAAATTTGCAACTGTTTTGTACTATTAAACGGCATATTACAGAAGCAGGATAAATAGGAATTCATTTCTCTTTGTTTGGTTGGGGTAAATACAAAACAGAAATGTGAAGGAGAAACTTGAGGAGAAATGAGAATCTTCTCTTGTTTGGTAACAAGAGAAGAAGTGGATGGGGGAATTAAAGTGGCAGATCTTACCACTTTGTTTTAATCTATTCTCTTAAAGGGGGGTACAAATAGGAGAGTAATATGATTCATCTCTTTCTAACCCTCTTCTCTCTTCTCTATTACTTTCCTTATAAAAAACACTTCGATTTCTAACATTCTCACTGTCTCACAAGCACATAACTACATAACCAGTTTTTCAATTTTCATTCAGGCATTGGACGCGAAAGTGATCATATTTAAGAAAAAAGACGAAAGAATTATCGAAGAACGCGGGGTTAAACTTACATCGTCAGGTTGGTAACTTGTAATGCCGTTAATTGCTTGCTACTTATTGGTTGCTTTGTAACAATATATGTCTGTTGTCCCCCCTCTCCTCTCCTCTCCTCTCCTCTACTTATCCAAAATGCTGTATGTTCGCGATTCTTTCTTTTCATTTCATGCAGCACTTAGTTGACAAGATATTTGGCCTCAGGTTTTTGCAGCCTTTACTTATTTGGATAGAGAACTATCACCGCCCTTTTACCGATCATTCTTTATTCCATATCGTTGGCGGCAGATGAATGTCTTTGGCCTATACAAGCTACTTAGAAGAATAGGGAATTGAAAGTAGGTTATGAAGCTGGACTATTTGGATAGAGATCAGCTAACATTTGATAGAGACATGCTATTTCTTACGTGACAAAGTTAGTAGTAATTTGGAGTTGGCCAGTGATCTTGCTACAATAAAGTAGTTATTGTACTAAATGCTTGTTTGTATTGTGCGGTTCTATGTTATTTACTTCGGCTATGCAAATGAGTCTATTGTTCATTTTGTTTTGAATTAATAAATGTAAAGAATTGGGATAGGGGTTGCTTACATATTACTCATTAATTTCTAGACAATATATATTTTTAGTATGAATTAGAAATTTTATTATGTAGCAAATCTAAATAAAAACATTACATTTTAAAATAAAAAATCACTTATATATATATAAGTGACGGTAAGTGTGATTATTTTTTTTTTTAAAAAAACCGTCTTTCTATAACGGTTGGTGGTTTAACCCATATAAAAAGGATTTTATATGGGGTATTACCCGACTGACATCGAAAACATTCAATAACGGTTAAATTCGTAACCGTTATAAAAAACATTCTATAAGGGGTACGACTACCCGACACGAAAAGAGCCCGACTTTCTATGTCGCTGGCTACTATGTCGTTACGGGAACCGACATAAAAAGTGTTTTTTAACCCATATAAAAAGTGTTTTCTACACTAGTGAATTGTCCAAAGAAGGGAGTTATGGGAGCATATTACCGAGTTGAGCCAAAATATTCTTGCACCGTGGACTGTTTTAGGTGATTTTAATTGTGTAGGCTCTCCTAATGAGAGGAAAGGTTCTGCCCCTCCTTCGGCCTACGCAATGCAGCACTTAAATGATATGAAAATCCAATCTAACCTTAGTGATGCCCCTTCTACGGGTGAAATTTTTACTTGGAATAGGGGTGCCACTTGGGCTAAATTGGATAGAGTGCTTATCAATTCCTTTTGGTGCCAACATAATGTAACATGTAAAGCTCATTTTCTTGAAATGGAATGTGAATTTGATCATGTGGCATCTTTGGTTACCATAGGAGCCGTGACTTGTAAAGGGTCAAAACCCTTCAAATTCTTTAACATGTGGCTTAAACATGAAAGGTTTCATAGCATTTTGGAGAGTGTTTGGAATAGGGAAGTTGTTGGTACGTATCAGTTTAAGCTTGCACGAAAACTGAAACTTCTCAAACAACCCCTTAAACAACTCAACAAGGATGAATTTAGCCACATCACGGCTAGGGCAAAGGTGTCCAAGAAAGAGTACAAGAGAATCTATCAATTAGCTCTCTTGTCTCCTTCGGATGAAGCCCTAAAGGAGGAATTGGTGAAAGCAAAAAAGAATGCACTATTTTTGAAAGAGGCCGAGGAAGCCTATGTGAATCAAAAGGCTAAGGTCAATCACATTTTGAAATCTGATAAGTGTACTAAGTATTTTCATTCTATTATGAAGAAGAAGTATGCACTAAACTCTATTGCTTCTCTGAGATTGGAAGATGGAACTTTTACCAAATCTATGGATCAGGTAGCCAATGAGTTTGTCTCCTTTTTCAAAGGTCTTTTTGGTACTAGCATACCTATTCATGATTATAACTCGGATGTGATCAAATCTGGTAGAATTATTGACCGTGCACTCTGTAATGACCTTATTAGCCCTGTGACTGATAAGGAAATTAAAGAGGCTGTTTTTGATATTGGTGATGACAAAGCCCCCGGACCGGATGGCTTTTTATCAGCATTTTTAAAAAACAATTGGAATCTGGTGGGTAGTGATGTTTGTAAAGCTGTGAAGGAATTCTTTGCTTCAGGGACTTTGCTTAGGCAAGTGAACCACACGGTGGTTTCTCTCATCCCTAAAACAAACCATTCCCCCACGGTATCTGATTTTAGGCCTATATCATGTACTAATGTGACTTATAAGATCATTACCAAAATTTTATCATCACGATTGGGACCTTGCCTTTCTGGGGTTATTAACCTCTCACAGGGAGCTTTTGTGGATGGGAGATTGATGTCTGACAACATCTTCTTGGCACAAGAGTTAGTGAGGGGATACACTAGAAAAAGGCCCTCTCCTAGATGTATGATTAAAATTGATCTTAGGAAGGCATATGATACGGTATCATGGGATTTTCTTGAAAAGGTTTTATTGGATATTGGGATTCCTAGATTATTCGTGAGATGGATAATGGAATGTGTGACAACTTCTTCTTTTTCTACCTCCATAAATGGATCTCTCCATGGCTGGTTTGAGGGAAAGAGGGGGTTAAGACAAGGGGATCCCATGTCACCATTGTTGTTTGTTATTTGCTTGGAGTACTTCTCAAGGTTGGTAGAAATTAGGGCTTCAAACCCTAGCTTCCTTTATCACCCTTTATGCTCCAAGCTTAAAATAACTCAGTTGGCTTATGCAGATGATTTAATGTTGTTTTCTAAAGGAAATTTTGAGTCAATCAAGATATTAGTGGATGCGTTGACTGAGTTTGGAAAGGTTTCTGGACTAATGGTTAATCTTGAAAAAACAAACATTTTTCTTGGTGGTAATATGGAGAGTAGAATTCCATATATTCTAGAAAGAGTGGGTTTTCAACAAGGATCCTTTCCGGTAAGATATTTGGGCATTCCACTTGCTCCTTTAAATATATCTGTTGCTCAGTTCTCTCCTTTGATTGACAAGGTGACAGATTATTTAAATGCTTGGAACCCAAAAACTATTTCTTATGCGGGGAAAGTTGAGTTGATTGCTTCGGTTATGCAAGGGGTTCAAGCCTTTTGGCTTGGAATCTTCCCTATGCCGAGGACCATTCTTGATAGAATTACCTCGCTCTGTAGGCTTTTCCTTTGGGGGGGTAAACAGGCAAAAGTGGCATGGAGTGATGTATGTTTGCCCAAAAATGAGGGGGGTTGGGTTTAAGGGATACTAAGGTGTGGAACAATGCTTTACTATCACGTACCCTATGGAACATTCATTCTCAACAAGAATCTTTGTGGGTGAAATGGGTACATGGGGTTTACCTCCATGGTAGGGGGTGTGGACTTTTATTCCACACCAAAAGGATTCTAGACTTATGAAGGCCATTGGAAATGCCCGGGACTTGATTGTATCAAAGTTCCCTTCTCTTGACTTGGCTGTGGAAGGACTTGGTAAATTTTGCCAAAATGGGAAACTTTCATCTTCTAAAGTTTATGATTTATTAAGAACCAAAGGAAGCATCCACCCTTTGATGTCTTTGATTTGGAAGAGCTATATTCCCCCCAAATTCTCATTCATTACTTGGCTAGCCTTTCGAGGTAGATTAGCCACGTATGATAGGTTGGGGTTTTTGGATATAAATAATGTTTGTCCTTTTTGTAAGGATGGCCCGGAGACGGTGTCACACCTATATTTTGAATGCCCATTTACAGGACAGGTGTGGGATTTGATAAGAAGCTGGCTTGGACTTTCAAGGCAGATGTCTACATTACTAAGTGCAATAAAATGGATCAAGAAAGAGCATTATGGAGCACATGCTAAAGCCAAAGCCGTGAGAATTGCGTTTTGCTATACAGTCTACTGGACTTGGCGAATTAGAAACACAATATGTTTTGAGAAGACGAAGCCCGTAGTGGGAGACATGGTCAAGCAGATAAAGTTTATGGTGTATAAAGTTTTGTATGCTATGTATCCAAATAATAGGATAACATTCTGATTTTTTGCGGTTTGTCACCAATCTTTTGTGATGGCTAGCGTACAAGTGTAGCTAGATAGGTACATTTTTGGTGGTGATTGGGTATCCTTGCTTGGGATGACCCCGTTTTGTTGATGTTTTGCCACGAACCACATGTACATATACACTTTGGATATATATATATATATATTTACAGTTTATCCAAAAAAATAGAACTCGGAAAGATGTTTCCAACGAGATATAAAACGCTTTCAACAGCACAAAATAGAGCAAGATATGATCGCATCAAATTCTACACGAGTTCGGAGTAAAATCAGAAACATTTGTGAATATATGGTTAATCTGTAACTTTTAATTAATGCATTGTAAATGAAAATGGAACAATAGCTTTAGACCTCCGATCTATCTTTCCAACGAGATATAATACTCTCCAAACGGATAAACACACAGCAAGATATGAGTGTCACAAATACTTAGCCTTATCTCTATGATTTAGCGTTTTCAGCGAAATATAGCACTTTTAGCGTAAATACAGTGTATTTTAGTAATTAGGCAATCATCCCTTGATATTCTGAAACCAGAGACTAAATACAAGTTTTAGAACTCGGTAAGATCTTTCCAACGAGATATTAAACGCTTTCAACGGCACAAAATAGAGCAAAATATGATCGCATCACATTCTACACGAGTTCGGAGTGAAATCAGAAACATTTGGGAATATATGGTTAATCTGTAACTTTTAATTAATGCATTGTAAATGAAGTTGGAACAATAGCTTTAGAGCTCCGATCTATCTTTCCAACGAGATATAATACGCTCCAGACGAATAAACACACAGCAAGATATGAGTGTCATAAATACTTAGCCTTATCTCTATGATTTAGCGTTTTAATCGAAAATAGAGCACTTTTAGCGTAAATACAGTGTATTTTAGTAATTAGGCAATAATCCCTTGATATTTTGAAACCAGCGCCTGAAGACATGTTTTAGAAATCGGTAAGAGCTTTCCAACGAAATATTAAACGCTTTCA